ATTAACAATTCCTTATACATCATTTTTTATAAAAAAAATGCTAAAAAAAAATTCCTTATAAAATATAAGGAAATGTGTTACGGAATTTCAAAAAACGTATACTAAACTTATTTATAATAATGAAAAAACGTATGCAAATTTTTTATAGGGTAGGCATATGTAATTCAAGAAACCTTATGTATTATTATAAGAGGAAAACCCCTTAAGAATTTTTTATTGGTTAATAAATTCTAAGTTTCTATTTTTCTTCATAACTAAATTGCTAAATGTCATTAAATTAGGAAAAAAAATTTTGTTAAAAAATACACAAAAACTCATTGGTTTCTATGATGAATTCTGTGAATGATAAAAGTTAATTCTGTAAAATTCTGTGATTTGGTCAGAATTATGCAAGATCAGCCAACATTACGATTCGCAAATTCTGGCCAAACTTAATATCAGCCAGTATTACGATGATAAATCGGGCCAAAATTTTGAAAATTATCATCCATATTCTGTAAGATCCTGTGAATTTCTGTGAAACACAGAAAATCATCGTCCCTGCCTTTGAGGTGTCAAAACGTCGTACAAAGAAAATGAAAAGGGTAACATGTATATAAAGATCGTAATTTAAATAATGTTCCTTTGTTATTATTATTTTTTTTTTTTAAAAAATAAAATAAAATAAAATAAAAATAAAAAGTATTAAAACAGCTAAGCAAATATTTACAAGAATTGTATTGTTCCGATTTTTAGAGTTCTGTGCCTATAAGCACAAAACTTTGTCGGAAGAAAGCATCCGTTCGACACTGTCAATTTTACCTCCACTTTCTTTTTGAGGGGACAAATCAAATATTTGACCTTTATTAAATAATTCTTTAGATAAAAAATACGTCTGATAGTTGTAATAATACTTCTAGAGTAACTAAAGTTTACGAGGCTCAGGTAATTTATGAATATGAAATTTGAAAGAGAGGACGAGATTAACAAAGTTTTACTTTCACAGGTATTACATATATATTAATTCATATAAAAATGTTTTTATTATCATTTATTATCATTATTTTTTAAACGTAATTTTTATTTTAATTCAAAATTACAATTTAACAGGATGTGATAGAATCTTTGACAACTGTAAAGTATGTGGCTCTTATAGCGCTCGATAGTTTACTTCGTCAAATCGTATCTGAGAATACATTACATATTTTGCCTCCGCCTGTATTCAAATTAAATACGACTTTATCAAAAGTTGATACTCGAAAAAGATCAGCTTCTGAAAGTCATAGGTCATGTATTAATATGAATCCTGTATTTGAAAGTTTGCCCAGGGAGGAAAGGGATGCTTGGTTGCGTTCACAATTGTTGGCAGGTATTGCTGATAATGCAACTAAATTAGGTGTTAAGAATGAAATAAAACAAATTGATTCAGGACCTATTTCGTCTGATGTTGCTACCCTTGATAGGATTCAACATCATTTAGATGCCAACGTTCCTTACGTTCCTAATGATGATTATAATTTAGCATGTACATTAGCCGCACTTTTAGGGTATCTTTATCAAATTTTAGAGTTAAGTGAATTACAAGGGTATGTTACCAACTCTCATTCTGCCGAGGAACTTTTACATAACATAAATGGGGATAATATTTATAGCACGTTACATAAAGAGGTTACCACTTTACAAAATCGTCGTGTAAGTTTGTCTCAACATTCCAATGTTGCAGATGAACGACTTGCTACTTGGAATGAAATCGATAGGTTAATGGAAATTGTTGCAAGTTTGTGTCGAGATCGATTACATATTGATCCACCTCCAAGATATTCTTATGATATTGATGATAAAGGTGGTTCAACAATAATCGACCCTCCAAAGTATTCTTTTTTGGGTACAGGTATAATGAACAATGAAAAAACCAAAGTTGATTTAGATAATGTCATTTCCGCGATAGAACGAGTTTATTACGTAGCTCCACAACTTAATAATCAACGTGTGGAGTTAAATGCACGTCAAAAGAAAGAATTAACGGCTGCCACCTTATCATCTGCTATACAAAAGTTATCTCGGGGTCGTTTTGAAGAGCAACGCGCGGAATCAACATCAGTATTAAAATATCAAACTTTAAATTGTTTGGTGGATCAAATACAAAAATCTGCCGCAAAAAGTTTAGTAAATCAACGTGTAGAACTTAGCCCTCGACAAGTGCGAGATTTTGAAGTAGCAAAATTGAGTGGTGTTATTGATCGCTTGGACAAAAATCGAATGACAGATCAGGTAAAAAAAAAAATTTGTCTTTTCAGTGATTTTTATTATGAATATTATTAAATAGATTTTTCTACATCTTTAATAAAAAGGATTGGCATCCTCCTGAACAACTTCTCATTCAAGATTTGACCAGATTGACATGTGAATTAAGTTCCCCATATGCTTCACAACGTTTTCATCTTTCATCTGCAAAAGAAAAAGATATGTATATGAATAATGTAATGAAAAAAGTTGGAAAATTGCGTTCTTATCGTTTCGAGAATCAAGATGCTCATTTGTCTACTAAACCTGATGAATGCTCATACAATGAAATCGAAAATATAATTGCTAAAATGCAATATAGCCCGTCTATGGAAAACCAACGTGCGACTTGGAGTCCAAAAAAATCGAAATTCCCATTTTATTTAACTGAATAATCCATCCATCCCATCGATTCTTGAACTTTGAAACTCTCATTTTAACGAAATATACATTAATCAATTACACATACTCTCTCTCCTCTACTTTTACAGCATAAAAAATCACCATTTTCAATTATAATCCTATATAATTTAAATTTTAAATAATTATAAATTCAATATCCTCTGATTGGGGTAAGTATTTGAAAGGAATTCTTTATTAAATTATTACAGTAACTGTAAATCAGGATACTAAAATCATGATTTCCTCATCAAACCTGATAATAAAAATATAACTAATGATTATGCAAAAAAAAAAAAAAAAAAAAAAAAAAAAACAATGTCATTTTCTTATCAATATTCAGGATTTACTATAAAACATCGCATGTTATAAATATAGTGTTAAAGGATTAATGTCTCAAAAAAATGTCATAAATACTTCTGAAAGATATATTATAAAGTAATTAATATCTCTCCGATTTCTCTCTCCTCTCATCCTACATCCTACATGATTACATATAAATAACCATTTAAATTCGGAATTAATATTCTAACATTCGTAGTATGTAATTCATCATTGTAACAAAGACAATGTTTTACGGGCTAAGGCAACGATTTCATCTGAGTCATCATCATCATCAGGTTCTTCACCATCAGTTGTTACCCCAAATTCAGCCAAGCTATTTATTGCAGACACGATTGTATCCGAGGAAGAAATGTTTGCAAACAACTTTGGATCTAATATAAAATTAAAAATCAACTCAGTAATGCGTCTTAAAATTATATATATATTGTATATAAATTATTTACCTCTTCCTTCTAAAAATTGGACAATAGTCCAAACTGCAATATGTTTAAATGTTTTATCGGTACTTAATAAGAAACGTTGCAAGTAACCATGAAGGCCACCTTCTGGCTGTTCCCAAACTTTAACGAACGGCGAATAATCTTGAACTAAATTGAAATTTAAAATATCAGTTGAAATATGTTAAGATTAAAGTTTATGCCATTAATATTTAAGAATTTAAGATTTAATTACCTTTTGATGACAAATTTCCTAAAGCAGCGGCACTGTTTCCTTGCACCTCAACGCTTGAAGAATTTGTCAGGGGAAGCAATACTTGACATATACCCAATTTTAATAACCTTGGTTTTAATTCATCTATAAAAAAAATTAAATGAATAAAAAAAATATATATATAATATATAGTAATAAAATGGTTAAATAAAAAAAAAAGAGAGAGAGAGATCGTTTTACCACTTAACGCTAAAACAGCTACACATGCAGTCATTTCGCTTTGAACGCTTAATGGCACATTTAACACCAATTCTATTACTCGTTCAACAGCCCCAGCATCTACAATCGCGCGTTTATTTCTTTCTGAGCTGGCTGCAAGATTTCTTAATGTGCTAATGGCATGACATTGAATTTCTTCGTTTTCTTCGTATGCCAAAAGCTGAATTAGAGGTGACAAGAAACCCGCATCGATTATTGGAGATTCATTAAGTGGATGGATAGAAATGTTACGAATGCAAGCTACCGACGAAAGAATTAAAGGAAGAAAAGATGATTGAAGTAATCTTAAAAGAGGTGGTAACCCTCGAGAACGAACTATCTCGAGCTGATATTTTTCTATAAAATTAAAAATATAAACGTTACCAAGAATCTTTAATAAAAGTGTAAAAAAAAATAATTTATTATAAAATAAAATAAGCTGACCATCTGAAGCTAAATTTCTTAATGCTAAAGCTGCCTGGCATTGCACTTTCAGCGAAGTAGAATCCATTAAACCAATCAACGATTGTACCAAGCGTGTTTCTGATGAGGCAAGCTTTCTTCGGTTTAAAGCTATAATAATTTGTATTTTGATTTTAGGATTAATAATAACACAGAGAGAAAAAAAAGAAAAATTGAAATACATACCATCAACGGCGATATTACTAAGCGCAGTTGTACAATAATATTGAACATCCGTATCGGGTGAATTTAGAAGGCTAACTAATACAGGTATAGCGCCAGCATTTACAAGTTGTTGCCTGTTCTCATCTAGAATTCGAAACAGTTTAGACTTGCTGTAAATAATATAATTAACCATTATTTAAATGAGAAATTCGCAATCATTATAATCATTATATACCAGAATGTGTCATATTCAATAAAGCGCCTGTTGCGTTTCTTTGAACCCGCATGTCTTTAGAACGAGCTAATCGTGTAAGCGGTACCAAAGCACCAGATTTCGCAATTTTTGATTTATTTTCATCTGATTTGGGTAATATTTAATTAGAAACATAACGTATAAATCAAGTAACTTTTTATTTCAAATAAATTATATGTAAATTACCATGTGTAGCCAAATTAGTAATGCATCCAACCGCGTTACATTGTACTTCAACATTTGGTGATAACATTTGTCGAATCAATGGTTCCAAACCTCCCATTTGCACAATCAACAACTTATTTTCAGCTTGAAAATCAACGAGTGGAAATTTAGAAATTTAGATATATTTTTAGGATCAAATATTGAAAAAGAATATTTACTATTAACAGCCAAATTTCCTAATGCAGCAGAGGCCGCTCTTTGAACTTCTACGTCAGGAGATTGAAGGAGGAACATAATGGGTTCCATAGTTTCACGGTCCACTTCCCTAACATCTTCTTGGGACGATCAGGAAAGAAAAAAAAATTAAAATACAAAAATAAAATTAAACCAAATTAGAACATCGAATAATAATTAATAATGAATTTATTTAAGAAATATCTCCCAATTCCAAAAAAAACCTTTTTCAGTTATTTCCGCAAAGGCTAATGCCGCTGAACGTTGTAAGTCCACATTATCCGAAAAGGCCAATGTGGAAAGAGCACGTAATGGGTCGCCCTCAAAAAAGTTAGTTTCGGCACGATCTAAACATTACATAAAAAATGCACCAAATTATCAAATTATGACTATATTCAATAGTTAAGCAATAATTAATGAAGGATAGCCAACTCACTCTCAAGATAGGTTAATAAATCTGCAACTGCTTCACGTTCATTTTCTTGCAGCAATGGTTCGTATAGGCTCTTCGTTTTCTCTAAAAAAAAAAAAATTGAATTCAATTTCAGCATAATATATTTTCAGGTTTTTTTATAACTAGTTTTCAACATACTTCCAAAAAGACAAGATAAGCAAGCTCCCATTGTACTTTTCTACTTTCTTTTTATAAGAGATATATCAAATTAAAAGCCGATGGACTAGAGTGCCAAAAGAATGTGGCAACTAGTACGCGGAGAAGTATAAATAGAAAGATTTATTGTAGTAATGAAAACGTGAAGTTTGTAGTTTTAATAAATTTTTCTGCAGGTATACTTTTTGCTCTTGCGAAAAGAAAAGGAAGTAATGAAGCAACCAACGGAAAAATAACGTCCACTAATTTTAATGAAGGCAAAGAGTTGTTTAAATTTTCAATGAAACACCGAGGATATATATTTTCTTAAGAAAAAACTTTTTAGTGCCTGATCGATGAACGCCTTATAATCCACATCATAATTAGTTTTAGATCGCCTATGCTGCTGACCTACTTACTCTATTTTCTAAATTACTATATTTATCAAAATTAAAAATGGTTTGTGTTAATTCCATGTCAATCTGGTGCTTTGATTAAATTTCAAGTTCAATCTTATTTAAATATCAGAAAATGGGCGCAGCAGGTCTACTCTTCTATGTTCTAATAATAATTTAAATCTGTATTAGTTATACCCTATAAAAGGCACTATTCTCACGAGAAAGGGGCTTCCAGAATCAGTTCAAGTTTTGCCAGACAAACTGCAAGCCTATGTAACGTTTCGGGAACGTGCAGAATTTGTTTATTTTAGAATTATTGAATTATGATATTTAATTAACAAAAACAACTTCAACAAATGAAGAAATACTTTTCCCTTTTTTTTTTGAGCCATTTCTGAAATTTACTACGCCTTACTGTGCCATAAAGGACCCTTTAATAATAGAATGCATCATGTTAATCTTTGATAAAAGGGGAAAATTTTATGTTACAGAAATTGATTGCAGCAGCAATGTTCCGATCAATCATCAATCTATAATACGCGCTAAATTTTATTCTAAGGTATGAAATGAAAGCTTTCTTTGATCTGGATATTGCACTTAGTCGTCTCTTTAAAATCAATTTTTTTTTTTAACTTCTAACACTTTCCATTCCTTTATACTCGTAACATCACATTCATACCAGAGTTAAAATAATAATGGATAGGTATGATTCAAGTCATTAAATGAAACAAGGACGGTGTTTTTCGAGAGATGATTTCTTACATGTTTTTTTTATTATATAGTCTTGAATTTGACCTTCATGGCTTGATAATGGAACAGCTGGTTGATATATTAAGTATCGACCCGGACACTACAAAAGAAGAAGTATCACGTTTATTAAAAAGATGTCCGGAGTTACCAAACGATGATAATATAAGTGAAGAAGGAAATCATAACATCATTTTAATGGTACGTTCTCGGAAACTTATGAAGGTTTAGATATAAGTTTTTATTCCCAATTCATTGCTTTGATTAAAATTAATGATTTACATTTAGACGAAAACCTTAAAACAAAATATATCGGCTCTAGCTTCACTTACAGCAAAAACAAAGTGTGAAGCCTATGCTGACGAAATTCTTCCGATCCTTTTAAATTATTTAAGATACATTCCAATATTTTCTTTTGAACCGGATCTTACATGGAAGGGTGAATATATACATACATATATATATATATATATAAAATATGTTTTTTCTTTTCTATCATTATCATTATGATTAAAATTTTGCTCATATTATATTAATCGTATTACATTAGAATTTTCATTACCGGATCAGCTTTCAGGAGAATTAATATCAGAACTACTTAAAATTGCAATTAAATTTGGTCACAAACGAGACATAATTGTAAAAGATATTTGTGCATTTCTTGGAAATCTAGAAAAAAAATTGACTTGTGGCAATGGTATGTTCTTTTATTTGGAATTTAAATAAATAATAACTATTTGTTTCTTTATCTAATTTAACGTTTTGTTTATTAATTAATTTGGCGAGTTAGTTGAATACATTTGCACTGTAATTCTTCCCCTGTTAAATGGTTTTTTTCGTGCTATTCAATCTTCACATATCTCATGGAATTGTAATGATTTTGAATTCGTGGCTCTTCAAACCCAACTTCTTGTAAGTAACGATTGCTTACAAGAAGTTGGACAAATTATCGAGACAGTGTTGCAATCTTCAGAGCCGCGATATTACTATGCTAAAAAATTTTTAATGAGATATCAATATAAAGGCTCACCTTTGTCAAGTAATGGTATCATTTTTGGCATAACTATAATGATGAGAAATATATTAGCGCGTGTTATTATCGTCAGTAATAATAAAGATGATAGCGTTACTTCAATGACGTTCAAGGAAATTTGGGATGCCTTAGTAAAGTGTAAGGCAAATATTCCTATACCTGTGACGGATTATGTTAGGAAAACTCTGCGCAAGACCTATGTCATGTCTTTGCAATACTTTGCTGAATTGACCAAGCTATCGAATAATCTTGTTGCACAAGGCAATGACTATCCATCTTCTCTATATGTCCGAGAAATAATGGCTGCTAGCCTGGTACAATTTACTATATTGTTTTAACATATAGAGTTACTCGTATTTTATCTTTTCTAATCGAATCATCTCAAAAATTATAGGATCTTGCAGCCATTGCAAGTGTTTATCTACACGAGGTTGATGATGAATTGATCAATAAATTGACTGCTTCCTTATTTACTGTTCCACAAACACCAGACGTTAAAGTTCAAACGTCTGCACTTGATGCAATTACTCTCCTTGCCCTAAAGTTTGTATAATAGAAATGATTTATTTTCCCTTCTCATAAAACCATTTACAAATTAATTGATTTATTTCCTTTTGATTTGTAGCTTTTCTTGGGCCAATTTAAAAATGATTCAGACTTTTCGGAAATTTTTGATTACACCATCAACAATTTTTGAATTGGCTGTTGCAGTTGAAAAGAATATCTCGATACTAGATTATGCAATAATTCGTCTTGCTTATTGTCTGAAGGTTAAATTCGCTAATTATTTATTTAATTTTATACGATATACTTCTATTATGATCTCTAGCTTACCAGTTTTTAAATGTAATTTTAGGCGGTGAATCATGAAACATCTAAATCAGTTATCTATAAACTACTTGCAATCCTTCCTTCTGATAGACCTGACCGTTCTTCATCTTCTCTTACTCCAAATTCCACCCTAGCTCCGGATCAAATGTCAATTCATAGCTCAGTCAGTGGCATATCGCGTAATGAAGAACAACGTCAACAGATGTATGAAAATATAGTTTGTACGGTTACTGGAGTTGTCTGCATTTTGAAAGACGATAATGTACTTTTGGTTATAATTTTCATGATTTTTGTACTTTGTCAAAATTTCTTTTAATATAAATTTGTTCTTTATTATGTTGGTTTTTAGATTACCGAATTAATTGTTTATATGCTTAGTCAACGTCTTCGTAATCATACACCAGCATTGGACACACTGATTCTTGAAAAATTTGTCGATATTGCATTGATTTCATCAGAAAAAGTTTTTTCTGAAATTGTCCAAAAGTTTTCCGATATTAGTCGTCAATCTCTGTCTCCAGAAAACAAAATTGTTACTACCGCGGTAAGGTTTCATATAGTTTTTTATTCATTCATTTACTACTGAGGTAACATTTGGTTAAATATATATCATTAAAGTTCCTTTTTTTTAAAAAAAAATTGATTTAAAGGTTCTTAAATGTCAATTAGATTTGGCGAGTAGGCTCAATTCTCGTCCGGAATTCTATGGTCTTTATTTACTAAAGATTTTGTCGTTATTTGTGGAGAAGGGAGTTGTAATCCAACAAACGGTTGAAAAGAATGGCAAATTTCAGGTAAAACATATATTTGAAGGAATCCATATTATTTATTATTATAAGTTCATATTTATTTTATTGCATTTTTAGATTACTTCACTGGCTGGTGAAATTGGGATTTTGCTTCCCGTTCTTAAAACTCTCTTATCTCATGATGATTTTACAGATCATATTAATTCTTCTGAAGAACTAGTTCCTCTTTTTAGAGACCTTTGGTTCCATTGCATACTGTATGGATTTGTATCAGAAGAAACTTGGATACCTGAATGGAGAGAATCATTAGTGGTCATAGCTCAAAAAACACCACCACTTGTTCAGGAAACAATAAATTACCTTGAGAGTGATTTAGAATTCAAATCAGTATTGCGTAAAGGTAATTCCGACCAGGTTAGATATTTTTCAATCATCGATATTTTATACGTTGTTGATTAGCTCACAAGACTAAAATATCATTTGCATACTATTCAGGATCTTGTTAACGTTAGATCTTCACTATCTTCTTTCTTACCCAATCGTGCTTATGAAATAAAATATTTATCCTTTGCGGAAATTACATTTTTGCTCTCCGTGTATCATATTGAGATAATGAGAAGTCAAATGGGCCAATGCTCTTTCATCTTGAGATATTTTGTTAATCAAGGTGTAAGTGCTGGTAAACTAGTTGGCTGCATGGAAGAAATTGGCAATCAGGTCTGTTTAATTGTAATCAAATTTATTTTATAAATAGTAAAGTTTATAAAAATTAATTTTTATTTTATCTTATTTTTTTTTCCTGAATAGGTGATGGAGGTTTTCATCAGAGTATGCTCTAACAGGGCTATTGCACATACTATAGACGAAAACCTCAGAGCTCACGTTCGCAATCTTATGATTGCCACCTGTCATCGCCTTAGCAAAGTTAGTCAACTTTCTATAAAGGATCTCGATAATTTGATGACCGCGTTTCCTTCCTTGCTTTGCGATAAAAAATTATTGTTTTTGTTGTTGGAGTTGATCGAATTATTATGGCAAAGTTGCGAAGCCGAATATTTAAATGAGGTACAATTAAATGATATAAATTTAAAATCACTATATAACCCATTTAATCCCTTTTTTATATATAAAGTATTCGCCAACATATACGTATATTTCGCCTAAAGTTGAAGTTTCACTTGACCTTCCCGATGATTATAATTACCGAAGAGAAATTTTATCAAGGTTATGTGAAAATTCGAAAAAGTGGTTGACAGCTGCAATGACACGTGTGCCT